GCTGATCTAGCGAATTCCCATGGCTCGACAGTCACGTAAGCCAGTTCACATGAATTCATACAATCGTTTTATACTGAGTGTCTTATAATTGATATGTAGTCTACAGGGTACAACAGTAGTAAATTACACTTATTAGATTATAATAGGTACTGTCAATTGTCATTATAATATAAATACAGATCTTAAATAATAATTACAATCATATGATAATTTTGCGATATTCCTTCGCCGCAAATTTTTCAACAACTTGTAAAAAATCCAATGATGTAGTAAGTCAATTTAACAGCGCAAGGCCTGATAGTCGATTTTGTGTCATTGAAGTTCGTAGTCGATTTTTTATTAACTTCATTTTTGAAAATGATCCTTCTCCGCTACAGTTGGACATCATCAAAACTAAATATATACGCAGCACTACTTCTACATTAGGAAATATACGCTGCTAATTATTTTTCTCAATAATCCTATGTAAAAACCTTTCCCATTGCTCATTATCTTTACGCGTTTCTATATATATATATATATATATATATATATATATATATATATATATATATATTGATAAATTAACTGAACTGTATCAATTCATTACCAAGTGAAGATTCTAAATCATTGGGGTAAATGCTAACAAGGTAATTTGCAGTAGATTGTAGCACAGAAGTTTCTAGTTTTTCAAATTTATTTAAAATTTTTTAAATTTGATTTTAACAACGTATTTTTGATAAAGATCATATGAAATTTCTAGTAAAGCTTCTAATACCACAGATTATATAAAAAAATTTATATGTTTTAAATAATCTGTGTAATACTGTATGGTTGAAGACTGAGTGTACACATCTACCGTCTACGATCTAATGCAGGCGTGCCCAACCCGCGGCCCGTGAAAGTGTTCCAACCGGCTTATGACCATTTTATAAAAATTAGAAATTTGTATAGGTGTAACATAAAATATTATTTACAATTTTTTTCTTTAAGTTTTTAAGAATTGCAAAATATCTTATAATTCTTAACTTTAATATAAAAAAATGTATTAGATTTTAGAATAATAATCGAAATAAATTAGTGTGAAATTTGGGCTTGTTTTTTGTAACCAATCTTTCAATATTCGGAGTAAAATGTTTAACGCCATTTCTTAAGAAGTGTAAGTGTTCATCAGTCAATCGCGATCTTTCTTAACATTTTGTGTAATTCATGCATGAAAACGTTTGTTCACCAATATAAGTAAAACCAAAAAATGTAAATTAAATCACTTATAAGTTCGAAAATAGTTTTAATCATAAATTTGATAAGTGAACAAAGACAATAAAATATCCGATAAAATGTACAATAGATATACCTAATGTTTTAATATATCTATTCATTATTGTTTATTTTATCGAAATGAAAAAAAAAAAAATCCGTGAATTATGTACGGCCCGGAGTATAAATTTCGAATGTGGCCCACAAGTAGAAAAAGGTTGGGCACGTCTAACACATCAATGTACAAATGAAATCTTTCTCTGCGTTATCATATATTTTTATTTAGAACTTATTCGGCATGTATTTATTTACACCAGCGGCCAGGCATTTATATTTATAAGCTCGTTACTAATTTTTATGCTATTATAATATATAATTATATTATTAGTTATTAAATATTAATAATAACATTTATTTATAAATTTATGACAATATCAATGATTGAACATTTTTATTCAAGTTATGATTTAAATTAATTTTGCAAATGTTATATTGTGTTTTTATTTGGATGGAAAAAACCTACATTCAGTGGAGGCGCCCCTAAATTCGGCCCTGCGTGTAACTAATAACTAATGTAATGGTTAAGGTATTTTGTCTTTTTAAAAATATAATCTTCAAAATAGTTTATACGAATTTTAATTATTTGAATGTAAAAAATCTAATTTTTTTAAAAATATTTTGTGGTTAATTCATATTTGTTCAAGTTTAAAACTCTATAATATTTAACAAATGGCTCCTATTCCTAAAATAATTTGTGGATAAAAATATAAATAATTTAAATCAATAATCCATTTATATACTTCTAAATAAAATAAAACGTGCAGAGAACAAAATCAATTAAATAATATATTTTTATTTTAAACGATGTATAAAAATACATTTATTTTTTAATTTTTAGATTTTTTTTTTTATTGATCTCAAAAAAATAACATCGACAACAAAGGCCATTTGTTTTTAATTTTGGATTAAAATTAAATTAAATATAAATTTAATTTTGCTTGTTTTGTAAAATTAATAAAATTTCGGTTTTTTTCAGGATTGGGTCCAAGTGCGATGGATATATTTTAGGATAATTATTTTGGTTTATTTAAAGTCTATAACATTTTTTTTTCGTGAATTCTCAAATAAATGTAGATTTTTATGATGTATAAAACGAGTCGATTATTGATGTCACTCAATGTGGTCTAAAACCTGTGTACTAAAAATATTTAAGTATCGGTACTTAAGCACTTTTCACAATATTGAATACTGTATACTGTTTTAAATACTTTTTTTAAAGTTCAATAAAATATTTCATAAACGATTTTTGGTATTGAAAACTTTCATCAAATTAATTTCTATAACAACACAATTATCACTATTATATTAGCAAAACGTAAATTATGAAAATAAAAAAAATTGTATATCTATACCCTAAGTACAAAATTAAAAATAAATTTTACATCACTGTTTAAAACTCGATCCGTAGAAATTGTCAAGGTAAACCTAAATACATAATTGTGAATTTCAATGTTTAAACGCAAACGTGTAAAAATTGTATTGTAAAATTTTTTAAAAAGTATATTTAAATATATCAATGATCTCTAAATATACGAAACTAAATTTTGTTTATTTTATTATGATATTTTCTAATTTAATTTTTTATTCACTTCGGTCTACATAAAATATGGTTTAGTATGATTAATTTACGTATTCAAGAGTTTTGTAAAAAAAATAATAAGTATGTTATAGTTTGTACAATAAATTCTTATATATTACGAAAAAATGTAGTTGTCCAATAAGATTTCAATAAAAAAATTATAATACATTAATATTAAGGGTTTGACTTTGTAGTACAAATAGTAAAATTTACATAAACATTTCCAATAATACAACAGTAGATTTTTTGTTATAACTAAAATCCAACTATTTTAAATTTGTTTTGATTTAATATTCCCTCGAACTTAACTTTATGAAATGTATAGTCGTGTTAAGTATACTATATACTTATTCATTAGCTATAAAGAAATAAAACTTGATAAAACTCTGTTACAAATGCATTATCTACCTTAGTAAATAATTAGGGCAATACGATGTTTGACACATACCTGTAATGAGTATCCATATTTATCTACAAAAACTATTATATCATAGTGATTACGCTAAATTGTTTTTACATATAAACATGTGGTTTCGTGGTATCTTTTAAGTTATTTAGATGAAATTATAGTACAACTAATTATCGTTAAATGGTAAATATTAGAATTTTTTTTTAGAAAAATTATTAAATTATTATTATTATTATGGAAAAAAAACCAACACATTATATTGCATGCGTGATGTTTATCAAAACAACGGTACTAGAGTTTTTGAGATTATTTTTATTTTTTCAGAAATTTTTAAAAATGTTTTTCCTACAACAACGATTTTTTACGTAGTTTGTGGAATATATTGTTATCCGGGTAAATACTTTTTTTCTACCATCGAATGAAAATACGTTAAATTTTGATTCATCAGAAAAAACACTTAGTTCCAGAAACTTATAGGCTTATCAAAATAAGCTTTTGATAAATCTAGACGTTTTCTTTTGTTAACTGCACTTATAAATAGTTTCATCTAGGAGTAAACCCATTATATTCAAATCTCTAAAAATTATATCCAACAATTTCTCACTGTTTGTGGTACTACATTTACACCCATAATCGTTTTTGACTATATCCGCCAGTTTTGATGCACTTGTCTTGGGATTTTCTACAACTGTTCATAGTTGTTGTAATTGCTCGCCGTTGGTTTGAGTCTAATTTTCTAGGTCGACCTAAACGAGGCCTATTGATCAATGTTTTAATTTCTTTTTGTCGGTTAAAAATATATTGAACTTTCGTGTGTGTTTCGTATAAAATTTTAGCGATTTTTCGAAAAGATTGTCCTTCTCTTAGTCATATAATTAATGCACGGATTTCAGTAGGTACTTTCATGGTTAACGTATGTCGAAGTAAAGAAAACTTTAACGTATAATTAAAGTAAAAAAAAAAATATTTAATGTTTACAATTATGAAAGATCACAATAAATTGATTTATTTGACTTCGTTAGACTTCATAATAAAGAGCACACCGATGAGAAAAATGAGTGTATGGTAATTTATTTGGCGAAAATAATTTAATTATGTGTTTTCCAAATGAACTTAACTCTACACAAGTATTTTTACCTAAATTTGCTATAGAGATTATATCACTGATTGTTAAATAAAAATGCTGATGTTTAATTTAACATTTATTGAAATCATTTTATTAATTAAAATGTAATGTATGGGAACTTTTTTGACCGATTGTACACGACTCTATGGCGGGTGGAAGTAATGGAGGTAGATTGTGAAAAAACGGTTGGTCTGTTTTCATCGTCGGCTTCTGGCCCGATGCCGAACATCGTACCGTCAGCCGGCAATCGGCTGGGCCCCCGCCCCGCGTCCACGTAGCGAGAACGTTTACCGGTCGACGACGGCAGGTCCCTACTTGCTTGCAGCTGCCACAAGACACACCCAACGCCGGTTCTGTGTTCTGTTCCTAACTCGGTGGCCCATGTTGGCCGCCGTGACCCGCACTCCCCGCCAATCAAGAAACCGTGGCGAGCACGGTTGTCGGACGCACGCGCGGCACCCGAATTTTGTCATAAAACACAGATCCGGCGCTGGGCCGACGAGCGATAGTCGGCGTTCTTTGCGCACAACACCGATTTTTGTCGTCTGCGCACGACTCGTCGGCCGCCGACCCGGACTCGATTCCACCTAGTGTTTTGTTTCGTTTCTGATGTGAAGGTGGACGGTCGTGTTCGTGCAGCTGTGCATTACGAAATCCCCTGCTAACACTCGTTAATTATTCGATATCATCCCGTTCACTTCACAGTATCACATCAGCAGCCGCACGTCTTACTTGTTTTCAACTATTTTTAATTTTACTTCGTAACAAATGTTTACGAAATTGTAATCAGTATTAAACTAACCATTAAAAATTTTGTTATTTGTTTAAAACGTTACATTTTTTTTTTTTTTTTTTTTAACTAATTAAGTTTGTAAATGTTGTTTAAATTGTAAGGTGAGTCGAATTATTTTTTAATATTTTTTTTTCCGTCTGTTCTTCTGTTGGCAATGTTAATATTAATTCCTTATTTTGTTCACCAGGACTGTGATTAATATGGCGGCAGACAATCAACAGTTTTGTCTACGCTGGAACAACCACCAAAGCACGTTAATAAGCGTGTTCGATACGTTACTCGAGAGCGGCACGCTTGTTGATTGCACGTTGGCAGCCGAGGGACAATACCTAAAAGCCCACAAGGTCGTGCTATCTGCATGCAGTCCATATTTAGAGGTAATACATTTTATTTATTCACCCCCTTGAGTTTTTATCTTGTTTCATATTATATATCTCCTAAGTAATTAAACGTTATGTAACTTAAATTGTTTGACAAGCGTGTTCCATATTGGTCGTTTTACTTGATTTGTTTTAAACATTTTAATATTCAATTGTGACTTAATTCCATTTTAAATACTTCACAAATTTGACCTTAAACATTAATATTTTATTAAATCTTTTATTGTATATTATTTTATGAATTTTGTCTTGGCTAACCTGGATATTATAAAATATTTCTATTTTTCTACTCTTAAATTATTGAGTACACTAGTTAGCGTGTGGATGATTGATCGCTGTTCGTTATTTAACCTTATAGTTAATTGACTGGTGGTTTTTGGTCCATTCTTATTGCAGTTCTCAATCGTATAGATCATATGTCATTGATCTCTATGTATTGTATTGACAAGTTTCTTTGTCTGCTGCCTGGTATACTCTTGTGTAGAGAATTATCAAAGGTGGTTTTTTTTAGTGTTAATATCCACCTACATAATTTATTTTGAGTATTTATAAGTAGTATATATAAGTATCATTCATTCATTTGGATGTTAAGATTTTTGTTATAGATATAGGTTAATTTTATAATTCTTGAACAGCTAAAGTTCATTCTTTCTCAGGTGTTGACTTTCTTTTTATGGTTAGCAAATTGTTCTTATTAATATTTATCGTTCATTGATACTTAATGGACATATTTTTCTTCTGACCGACAATAGATTGGGTAACCAAATAAGGTTCAGGGAAAGTACTTTTACATTTCCATTATCTATCATGTACACCCATATTAATTGAACTTAATTTATTATAGGTAGTATTTTTTTCAAATCTAATAATAAAATAAACAATAGGTAAATTTACAAAGTTGTTTTCATTGAACTATATTATAATTATGTATTATAAAACATTTACATTTTAAAACATAATAAATTAAAATAATTTTTGCTATTTGTTTTTATTATGAAAGCAATAATTTATTCAGGATTGAATAGGTACATGGGGGGTGGGTATGTATTGTATTTTGTGACAGCGAAAAGTTACTTCGTTGATTGTCAGCAATAAAGTTAACCGAAACACTTTAAAAATAGTACGAAACATAACATTTAAGAAGAACACCCATGACCACTGATAAGATAAAAATAAATATAAAATAATTGCATAAACAAATTTAAAACTGTTGTATTTACAACAGTGCCCGCTGGAAAGTTCTGGAAATATCTGATTTCCAATCACTTCATATTTAATATTTAGTTGACATTTAAAATTGGATGATTCTCAACAAAAATTTGTTCTAAACTAAACCAGTCACTACTACATTACATAGATCTGAATATTGTTTTTATAATGTTAAATTTTTATTTACTTAATGTTTAAATTAATTAAATTGATGTTTTACCTTTCTGTAAAACGTCTAGAAATTTAATGCAGTTATAGTAATTAGTTCCATTTGCTTAATGTGTATCCCAAACGCTATTAAACTGAATGAAGTAATGATTTTTGGAATTTTATTTAAAAGAAATTTATGTTTATACATTGCCAAAACTATATTTTATGATAAATTACAAAAGATATTAGTATTTCCATAAAGAGATTCATATTATTATGATTATACTAATAGAAAAATCTAAATTATAAAGATTGCCTTATAAAATTTAAATTTACAATAGTAATTGTGGTACTTTGAGATAAGTTTTCATGTCTTCTATCCTTAATATGCATGAACTTCTGAATTGTTGGCATTAAGACTTACTGGTTATTATTTATATTTTCAGCTTTTATTAAGCCAACATTATGAGAAGCACCCAATTGTCATACTTAAGGATGTCAAGTTTCAAGAACTCAAAAGTATGATGGATTATATGTACAGGGGAGAAGTTAATATTTCCCAAGACAAGTTGAGCACGTTCCTGAAAGCTGCAGAATCCTTGCAGATCAAAGGTTTGACTGATGGAGGTGGTACTGAAGAGGGTGCAGCAACGACAGCACCAGCTAAGGCACCTATTGCCACCCCAGTTAGGAAGCCAGTCCAACAGCAGTCCGTTACACGCGGTCCATCTGCATCAGCACAGGGTTTAACGATAGAAAGGCGACCAGAAAGTCCACATATAAGATCACGTGACGACAGCGCCTCTCCTACACCAAGGAAGCGCAGACGTAATCTGCGTAGGCCATCAACAAGTGATGATCCTGATAGTCACATTGATACAAGCAATTCCTGTGATGTACCGCCCCTTCAGTCCGGAGCCCTGAGCGGCATCGGTGTTCCTAACATTCCTGCCACCATAACCAAGGGTGCCCCGTTGGATGACGGTGATCATGAGACTGAAAACAGCCGCATCAATAACCATGATGAAGGTGTTGAAGGTGTAGCAGGACCAAAGATCGAACCAACTGGTGAACTGATTGAACCTAAGACTGAGTATTTGGAAGAAATGAACAACGAGGACAGTATAGAAGATTTGACACTTGATGACGATGACGATATGGACAATAGTATGGATATGTCAAGAGCTGGTCCATCACATGATAACTCAAACCAAAGTATGTCTCATCTAATTTTTTAGTGACTAGTTAACTGTATGTTTTGTTATATTAGGTTTTGGTCAGTGGCCTATAACTGGAAACCAATCAACAGATGAAGTGTTCATGTCTGCTCAAGAAGCAGTTGGAGCCCACAGGGATACTCAAGGTAAGACTCGATTCTAATATCAAGGCTTCTGAACGTAATGACCTTTTAATATTGGTTATTATGTTGGGAAGTTATTGAAGAGATTTGGTTGAATTTTTCTTTGTCTTTGAAATAAAATATTGAACACAGCGATGATCAATTATGCAACTGTAAATTTATTAATTTAACCATGTATTCACCAAATTTTTTCAATTCTATTGTTTAAAATATAGCTGTGGCAGAACCTTAGGTAAGGTTCACATGTGGTAATATTGTAATGAGTACAACTAAGAAGTCACATATGGACCCAGCCTTGGTTCAGTTTGAGCTTTGAATGGTACTTTTTTTTTTCTATGCACTTTTTTGGCTGTTATTTAGTAACCTGCGGTGTAGGAATTCATTTTTGCTAACCACTTTTTTGTGTACATATTTTTCTTTTTAATTTGCAATTACTATTCCTTATTATTGTCTTGTTAAACCGAGATATTTAATGGGTAAGAAACTTACTAAGTAGGTCTGAAGAACCCTATAAATATTAATTAATGGTGAGTTATTTTTATAAAAAAATTTTTATTCCTCTTTAAGATCTCTGTTTGGTGTAAAGAATAATGCATTTTTATTAAATACTCCATTTTTCTTATGGTTTCCAATCCGCCAAAAGTTGTACTAGAGCGAAAGGAGGCTCGTAAGTTATTCTTTTGTGGAGGATTGATAACCATTTTTTCCTTCCTAATTAACATTCCTTGAGATAATGAATTAACTTCTGTTAAATATTTGAAATTTTACAATGATTCAAAGTTTTCAACTTTTATTTCTTTTTCAAAACTGTTTTTCTCTTTGGACACATGAACTTATATATTTTGAGCTTGTGTTGTTTATGTAGGTTCTATGTGTCCTGAGAATTACTTTTATTAAACCTATTTTAATTGCCTTACAGAGATCTTAGCTTAACCTTTTCCCTCATTAACCTATTGTATAATATACATGCTGTATATACATATTTCCCCTCATTACTAATGATACAAAGTATATTTAGTTTTAAAAAACTGGTTGAGGGAGTTGTAAAGGTGTTATGGGGATGGGGTGCAGTCTAGTAAGTAAGAGTTATCATGTTTGTAAACAAATTTTTTATTCAGTGTTAATATTTCTAATTCAATTAATTCTGATACAAATTAAAATGTTAAACCAACAAATATCATAAAGATAAACAATGGCAATAGAAAGAAGAATGCTGTTTTGGAGGTAAGTATAAGGTAACTGGTAAATAGGGATCCTCCACACCTATCTTAAATATCCTTACATTTTTCTTTTCAAGTCCTGATATCCTTACTTTTAGTTTTAAATTATTATATTATAAACATTTCTTATTTTATTTTACATTTATTGAATTAATTAAAAGGCCCTTTTTAGGGCCTTGTTTAATAATTTTTTTTAGCTTAAGTGTAGGGAATATTTTACCAGTCCATTGGTGTGAATTGTTATTGGTATTAGTAACATTACTAAGTACCATTGGGTAGAAAAAACCAAGACAATTATTTATTGTATTGTTTTTTTAAGTGTGGTATTTTATTTCTATCCTTTTTCCATTCTTATAATTGCGAGAAACGTTTTATGAGAGCGAGGGTTATTTTTTTGAGATTTTAAAAGGAGCAAAAATTATGTATTAATCTCATAATATATGACAATAATTTTTGCAATGAACCATAATTGTGTGAGGGAAGGATATATTAATATGAGGATTTAATGTTTCAATTATTCTTGTTTGATTTAAATATTGAACAAAACATTTTAATTTTGTTGAACATAAATTATGTTCTTCGGACATCAATCAATTGACTCATCAAAGGTAAGTGATTTATTTTTCAGCCTTAATATTATTCCCAATGTTTCAATTAAAAAAATGCCACTAAATTGATTGAATTGATATATTTTTTAATTAATAGTTGTGTTTTAATTCATTTAAATTTAGATAATCTTTAACCTTAGTTTTATACTTTTCAACTGATAATGATTATAATTAAATTAATTTTTTATCTTAGCTATTTAATAAAAAAAATTTTTTTGTATAAATCATTACCAGGTTCCAAGTATTCAGTCAATTTTCGGGCATATTTAATAATAAATAAATTTATTAATCTTTGTTTCAAATTGCTAATCAATTTTGACGAACAATTTTCAATTTTTTGTTCAGTATGTTATATATTTAAATTTTTTTATAAGTTTCTCTATAATTACTAACTTGTAGTTTAATTACCACCTAGATCAATTAAATTTTTTTTACATTTGCTTCAGACTTTCTGGAGTAGTGGGTTTTGGATAATTCCTTATATTTAAATGCATTTTTGATTGGAGTTTTAAGGTGAACCAATGTTTTTTCAGGGAGAAAAAACTTAGGAAAAATCCCCTAAAATTTTAATATGTGTTCATTCCGAAACTTGAGTAAATTGCTAACTCTTACGTCATCAGGCTGTGATTATTTACTGGTCAAGATGATAATTTTAATTAATTTTATTTTTGTTAACCAGTACGATTATATTTTAGTTTATCGTATCTTCCATTTTCGAGACAGGCGTTTACCAAAAACAATATTCCATGCCTATTGATCATTAAATTAAAAAGTTTGTGAATTGATTTAATGGAAATTTAATCGCACCATTAGAAAACTACCACGCTTACCACTACTGGTGATACCATATTTGCTAATATCAATATTTGTCTACCTGCGCATTTTTAATTTAATACAAATGTACATTTTTGGGGACAGTTGTTTTGTTTTGAGAATAATTCATCTTGACCGATATAGTCGAGATATAAGACTAGGAAATGAAGTAAGTTACCCGAGAACTGCAATTATCGATAGATGCCCCGTTGGTTGTAAGCGATCCAAGTTTCACTAAAGTTTTTGATCTTGCACATCTAGACCACGAACGATGTGCTGCTTAAAATTGCACTGGGTAATTGGATTTAATAATAAATAGTAAATATTTCAATTTAAAGGTGATTAACAACATGTAACAACTTTTTAGTAACTTTTCCAGTAGTGAACAACTTGCATTACTATAATTAACACTCGCTAGGTTTTAAAATATTTTCATAGTTATATTCAATTCGGCATTTCTACATTGTTTAATTCATATTTCTAATCAAATATACCTATTAAGTTTGATCCATTTACTTACATATTCTAATCGTTTAATCACTTATTGATTTTACCATTTTCAATGTTTTTATTTGTACTTGCTTTCTTAAAAAAAAAAAAAGTTTAGTTTTAAGTTTCTTAAAAAAAAATGTTTTTTGTATCTGTTGAAAAAGTGGAAATTTAGCTATATTGTACTCCTACGAATTTAAAATTAACCTTTAAATGGGTGCTTGGTTTTTCCATTTACCTTTTGGAAATTAAGTGTTGCTATTAGATTTTTTTTTGGTACTTCATCATTGTACTTCGATAAGTCATTAATGAAAAATTATGAAATACGGGTTATCATGTATGTTACGTTATTTTATTCCCAATTCACTATTGCATCATTTATATGTATGTAATTAAATCCCCATTGATTGTTTGTTGTAGGATTGGTGATTTTATCACTTAAACTATTTTGATCACGCCAAATGTAATTATCACTAATGTATAATAGGATTGAGATTGTCATTTTGATTTGACAATATTGAATCCTATGATACTTTTGTAGGCCTTAACTAGAAAAATATGCTGAAAACACGCTGAGCGAATTCATCAACTAATTTGTAGTTTTTATTTTTATATTTAATAAGATTTTCCTAATCGTGGCTGTACAGCTATATATAACAACTACATTTTATAATTATGTGAACAGGATACCTAAAAGAGAAAAATTGATAACAAAATGATAACAAAAACTTCATTGTGCTTTGTCTCATGGAGGGTTGATATAAAACAGGTCATGGTCTTTGATTTCTTAAAAATGCAATGCATGGCAAATCGCGCCTATGTTAGGTTACTTTTAATTTGGTACATGAGGATAATTGTATTGCCAATGAATTATATATTGATTGTCATACATGATAGTAATCATTTGCTAGTTAAAATTAAATTTTTGTTTAATGTAAATGTACCATAAAATAACCATATGAAAGAATATTTAAAAATTAATGATTTATATATAATGTGATTTTCCAAAATAATATTTACTATGTAGGGATATATAGTATTTAATTTATTTTGATTTAGACAAATTAATTTCATTTTTGAGAGAAATTTTGATTAAATTATGACCAATTCTTCGGGATTTATTGTCCACAAATTGTATGAAATACATACGTACAATTACAATACCCCTAATGTGTTGCTGAACATTTCTTTAATGACTAGTATAAGATAAATTAATTAATTTAAATAAGTTTTTTTTTGACAATAACTAGGTACAGTGTATGTCCGATATCTTTTTTCATTGTCTACTATAATGTAAGGATTTGCGGACTATTATTTTCCTTTTAAACGATTTAATTTTTTTTATAACCGATTGTCTGCGTTGCTTTTCACGAGACAATAGCAAAACTTTTCTTACCCATAACATTAGTCATTTATAAGCCTGTAATCGGCAATAATCGATAACATGTAATCGGACAGTGATAGCTGAACACTATAATGGTAACGAGCGATCAAATACCAGAAATTCCAGAAAATAAATTTTCCATGTACCCCGATTTTTTATACTGTGCAGCGTGCAGTACGGATTGTTAGTACTTATGTTGTAGGTGGAGTATGAAAATCTGGCAGTATATACACATAACCCGGGTAATGTAAACAACACCTACTTGGTAAAGTAAACATGTTTGTAAAACGTTTATTTTGTGGGTTCATAACCGTGTAATTTGTACATTGGCTACCTTTGGATGGGCAAAGTGTTTTCATAAAATGTATAACGATAAATTGTAAATCGTGTATAATAATTTTAGACTTCAGTGCGGTGCAATCGGTTTTCGAGTTCACTTGTTCGATTTATTAATGTTAGGTCATTTAGATTTTTTGTTTTTATAAAAAA